CATCCATTTGGCAGATGCATTCACCCAAAGCAACAAAACGATAAATTGGTCCATGTTCTCTAGGAATCAAAGCAACACTGGCATCATCATGCACATGCATTATCAATAGAGCAGACTCGTGCTGTACCTGATGGAGTGGGATGGATGTGGTGAAACTATCCCAGTCCAGCTCCTCGTGCTCAGCTTCTACCTGTCGCTCATCCGAGAGCGAGCGCCCAACAGACACGACCTGACAAACAGCATCCATCTCTGAGCAGCGTCTGGCCCTCCTCTAACAGCTGGACTCCTCCTGTGTTTCTACACAGCACCGACGGCGTCTTTCAGAAGTCCTGCCGCGGTCTGACAGAAACAGGTGCACAGATGATTGCCTGATGTCGAGGTGTAGAGTAACAGACTGTGTGAGTGTCTTTGTGCCGTCCTTCTCTACCCGTCACAACAGCACTCGCGTTAATCAAAAGAATGAAGCTAAATCTCTGTGCTGCACGAGACGCGGAGCAGCCGATGATTTGCGGTCTGTTTCGTGCATTTATTTAAAAAACCAATCCATGCCTACAGTCTGGAAAATGTCTGAGAGTGTCAGAAGAACAAAGCTATTATTGTAATCTATGTAAAAATCGGTATGCCATTCGTTTTTACAGACAAAACACTCTGTGCTTTGACATCAAACATTTATATCTACAAGAGGTGAACCAAGACCCATCACTGGCGGACGCTGATTATATCTCAACAGGTGTGACTAAATCAACACATGCAATCGACATGCTGTATGCAGTTTGTGTTTGGTGAATTGCTTACTCAATCACATACCATAGCAGTGATTTACAGCCTGACACCCACTGGCTGAGATTCAACTGCTCAGAGTTTCAGACTAAATAATGGTGACCATTATGGTGGCCTCTTCATGAAACTGAATGGCGATCATCCCACAATGACGATGCACAGACACAGACAGTGACGCCTTCACAATCTGCTTCAAATATGACCATAAATTATACCCCAACAATATAGCAACATTTTAAGCTTCCCACTTTCACACAAATGAATATCAATAGATTTTCTTATGCATGTTTATACTGTGCCAACCGCTGAGAAGAAGCTCAAACGGGTAGTAAAAACACCCAAATGAAATTAATAATTTTATTCATTTTCATTATTATAAATAAAGTTGAATTAATTTCATTTATGTAATCATCATTTTTATTATTACAACTTGGTTTCTGAATTTTCTTTATTATTAGAAAATAAAAACAATTCATTTTTATTATAAATTATTACTTTTATTCAACAAGGATACATTTTATGGGTCAAAGGTGACAGTAAAGACATTTATAACGTTACAAAAGATTTCTATTTCAA